GTCAGTTAGGCGCCTGTCGTAGGTTCAAGTCACGATCTCATGGTCTGTGAATTCGAGCCCCACATCAGGCTCTGTGCTGGCAGCTCAGAGCCTGGAGCCTGCTTTGGATTCTGTGTCTCCCTCTCTCTGTCTCTCTAACCCTGCCCCACTCACGCTCTGTCTCTGCCTTTCAAAAATGAATAAACGTTAACAAAAAAAAAAGATAGTATCTGCTAGGTTTTGCCACTGCAAAGTCACTACTTTACCCTTTCTATATCCCTTTCAATACCCTTTCAATCCCAACTAGATATAACATGATATGACATGTTATATCAGTCAATAAAAGAACATTTTGTTAAGGCCAGTATCCCAAAAATCATCCCTTAACTATGATTCTTCTGTTGTACCTCCTCCCCCAAAAAACACAAAAATTTAAAGTAACTTCATTTAGGGGTCTGGAAATTATTTCCAAACAATTTGGCAGAAGATGGGTGTTGTGGGTATGTGTGTGAGATGCATAAGGATACATGATATTCACTGTATTATTCTTTCAACTTTTCTGTAGGTTTTATTTTTATTTTTTTTTTTTAATTTTTTTTTCAACGTTTTTTTATTTATTTTTGGGACAGAGAGAGACAGAGCATGAGCGGGGGAGGGGCAGAGAGAGAGAGGGAGACACAGAATCGGAAACAGGCTCTAGGCTCCGAGCCATCAGCCCAGAGCCCGATGCGGGGCTCGAACTCACGGACCGCGAGATCGTGACCTGGCTGAAGTCGGACGCTTAACCGACTGCGCCACCCAGGCGCCCCTCAACTTTTCTGTAGGTTTTAAATAACAACCAAGTTTATTCAAGAACACCACATTGGCTTGAACCGATATACCAAATCAGTGGTTCACCTATGGTAGTGAAAATACATCATGACTAGGCATTTTACTCAGGGTTCTACCCAAAACTGAAATTTCCTATTTTTACATAAGAATACATTTCTTTCATCCACCACTCTGGACAATGTTCATGAAATGAGCAATAGGTAAATGAGTAAAGACTCTGAAGGATAGCCTGCAATGTTTATATTAGAAAATGTGTTCCCTGGGTCCTAGTGGGAATCTTAGCATTTTATCTTGCCATCTGTACAATCCAAGTACTGTATACATACCATTGTATTTATTAAGCACCTAGTAGTCATCAAATACTGCATAACAAACTATAGAGATACTGAATCAATGAGAACAGTCCTTGCACCCAAGGTATTCAATGTAATAAATTGTGAAATGCCGTCTTTACTAAAGGTATAAACAAAGTGCTGTGTGTCGTCAGAGAAGACAACTGAAATGAGACAGGTGTGAGTGGCCTGAAAACATGACTAATGTGGTCTTGTAAATAAAAACATCCCAGGTACAGCAGTCATTGATGACAGAAGCTATGGAGCACAAGAAGCACTGAGACAGACCTTATATTTTTTTTTTTTATTTTTTTTTTCAACGTTTATTCATTTCTGCGACAGAGAGAGACAGAGCATGAACGGGGGAGGGGCAGAGAGAGAGGGAGACACAGAATCAGAAACAGGCTCCAGGCTCTGAGCCATCAGCCCAGAGCCTGATGCGGGGCTCGAACTCCCGGACCGCGAGATCGTGACCTGGCTGAAGTCGGACGCTTAACCACCCAGGCGCCCCTGGACCTTATATTTTTTAGCAGTGATAGATTACAGCCTCAATGGCAAACTTTTAAGTTCACTTACTGAACCACATAAGCTGGTGGGTTGGAATTCACCCTGCATAAAGGAGCCAGTGCAGGTAATAATCCTGGTTGCTGCTAAAACAGTCTTAAGAGGAGCTGCAAATGAGCCAGAAATAGCTGAGCTCAATCAGCTTACCTCCAGACAAACATCCTCATGAATGGGTAGGAAACAGTAGCGTAATAGTAGACTTGCCTTTGGGGCCAAAGGGAGGAGCATCCTGGCCATCTGATCCCAAATATCAGAAGTTACACAGTATAAAGTGAATCCCATTTTCAAGGGGAAGAACTAATCCTACAGAGAAAAGACTAGGGATGGTGGAAATAAGGGAAGGTTGATGTTTTAATAATAAGACAAAAGCAATACAAAGCTGTAGAGTAGAAAGGACACATTTGCTATTATTACCAAGATTGAAGTCCATACTTTGTGTCTCAAATGGAAAGCAAGCCAGGTAAATTTTTAAGCTTGCTTTTCAATAACTGAAAATGAAGATTATTTCTTGGAAGCCCTGGATAGCTTTTTCTCGGATATCATTCAACCAAAAAGAAAGGCCAGATTTTCTACATGCAGATTTACACATCCCTGGCCTTGGAAAAGGGGTTTTAATTTTAAGTGTAGCTAAAACAGCAATCTTCCTCAGGACCCAAGGGACCTTAAGCTGGGCAATAGCCCATTCATAGACTAGTTCTGTGTATTCATAACATTCTGGAATAATATCAGATGGACCCAGGAAGCATATTTATAGTCCAGAAGTAAAGAGGAGTGAGGTGTGGGCAGGAGGACAAGTGTGAGTCATGCTTTATTCTGTCCCACTGAAAGCTCTCACAGAGCCTCCCCTCTGACTAAGCACAAGTGGCCTGACAGCTGACAGAACACAGATGTGGAACCAGGACCTTAGGAGGTGACAGTGCCTGACAACAATTATTAATTCCAAGGTGCCAGGTGAATGGACCATATAATATTGAATTAATGTTTGGAAAAACTGACCCTGCCTTTCCCTTTTGGATCCTTCTCTTCCTCCTCTGGACTCCCTCCTAAGGTTTTTGCCATAACTAACCATTTCAATAAAAATATCTAGATTTGAGGGGCATCTGGGTGACTTAGTCGGTTGGGCATCCAACTCTGGATTTGTTTGGCTTAGGTCATGATCCCAGCATCATGGGATCAAGCCCCACATCAGGTTCTGTCCTGAGCGTGGAATCTGCTAAAGATTCTTTCTTTCTGCCCATCCCTGCCCCTTCCCCTCTCCTGCTCTCGTGCTCTCTCTCTAGACTTAAAAAACAAACAAAAAAACCCCTTAGATCTGAAAAGAATACACATGGGAAAGAATACCATATTAGACATTAGGAGACCAAACTAGGTTCTAATCCCATTCACATCACAGACCTACTGTGTTATAGCAACACTTCAACATCTTTGGGCCTCAAGGGGGTAAAAAAAAGTAGGGGTAAGGTTGGGACTGACAGAGTATGAAGACTCATGTTTCCTCAAGAGGCAGACACTTGGCTCTCTTTAAGTGACCTCCTTCCTTGCCAGAGTCCCGGCACACCCCCACTGTGCTGACCTGAGAACCTGAGTGTTCCATCAAGACCACGGAAGCAGGTCCTTTTCCTTTTACTACAACTGAGGACTGCCCTCCCTCCTGCCCCTGCTCCCTTTCTCTCCCTGTTGCCTAGACCCCTAGCGATTTCCTTTTCTTCTTCAGAAATCTAGCTGCCGTTCTCCTCATTACCACTGGCAGCTTCACCCACAACCTCAGGAAGGGATCTGTTACCCTGATGCCAAGAAGCACAGTCCCTGCTCTAGCTGCCTCCTTGGTCTTCCCTCCTACTATGCCTCTTCTCACTGTCACTTGCCATTCCCAGCCCAAAGCCATCACATTTGACAGAAAAAGAGATTCCCACTGCCCAGGGAAGGAGTTTGGAAGAATGAAGGAAAAGAAAATAAGAATCTCTTCCTGTTGCTAGGGTTTTTATTGTGGGGAATATAGTTTCTGGGATACAGCAGGAGCTCAAATATGTGTTCTAATCAAAACTCTTTTTTTTTTTTTTTGAAAGACAGAGCACGAGCAGGGGAGGAAGAGAGAGAGAAAGATAGAATCCAAGCAGGCTCTGCAGGGTCAGCACAGAGCCTGATGTGGGGCTTGAACTCATGAAACCATGAGATCGTGACACTTAACCGACTGAACCCCCCCCCTCCTCCCAGATGCCCCTCTAATCAAAACTCTTAAAGCTTTCCCCAGAGTTATGTTACTATAGACAGGGCAGTTCTGCATGTCATGTGCATATGATGGGGTAAATAGCTTTTCTGCAGGCTGGCCTGGAAACCTCCCTCTCAGGAGGCGTTATTTCCATGGGAAAATGCCATCTGAGTGGCAAACAACTGACTTACTAATAACCACTAAAAATTACCTTTCCTTCCTCAGGAATGGCTTTTAAAACAGGGAAATTAAAAAATGTGCTAGGCAAAGAAGAAATCAAAGAGCAGCTGTCTGGCTATAACATAATTCTATGTACAGATATTATCACAGAGAGACATGCATATGAATAACACACACATATAAATATGTAAGGAGTAAGCTGGTAAAAGTGCACTATCTAACTGGTCACACACACACACAACCACTCTCATCTTTGTTAACAACATGGGCTTGGCCTCTGTAGACTACTCCCAAAAGCAGACATATTCTGTGAGTAGGGGCTTTTAGCAATGGTAAGAAGAAATCCAAGTGTAGACACCACAGGGTAACACACGAGAATCAGGAGGAAGAATTTGGAAAAGAAGATACATAGAAGAGCTTAATATGGACAGGATATCCCTCCAAAATATCCAAATAAGATCCTTCTTAGAGAATAAATGCATGGAAGCTCCTATTGATTGTTTGAAAGGTAGGTAACAGATACCCTGCCTTAGAGAGGATGTTTCATGGTGCTCTGAGTTGGGGAAAGACAGAGGCAGGAATCAGGAAGGTATGTGTAGGGGGCAAGCAAATCAGAAAACCTGCGGCTAAAGCTTCCAAAGGGGCTCTGTCTGCTGAGCTGAAGTGCACAGATCTGATGGGTCGAGTCACAAGGCACCAAGGGTTCTGGCACAGGAAGGTGAAATGAACAGTACAAGTTGGTGGGTCTGTCAGGGCATTCCACACAGAAGCCATCACTGACCTGACAGGTACCAAAATACCTGGTACTTCAACACCATCTTCATACTGAAATTTAAACCGAAGAAGGATGCCTCAAAACAAGGTGGAGTGGGAAGGGAACGTTGCTTCTGTCCAGACTGACTCACCTCATAAAAGAGTCCCTCTGGGAACTGCTGGAAACACTGGGCACACACGAAGCACTGCTCGTGGTACAGCTCCCCGTTACTGTTTACTATCTTCTCGGCGGGCGCAAAGCCCCCCTTGCAGCGCTCACAGGTGGCATTGGCCAGGGCATTGGCCATGTTGCTGTAATACACAAAGGACAGAAGTCACAGACTGTCTACCTTTTCTTAAACTTAAGACTAAACAACATAAAGGACTAAGGAGAAAATTCTATCTGATGACAAAAATCATATTGTAGCCCTAAAGCCCAATTTCTTGTGTCTTAAGTACTCAACTCAAACTGTTCCCATCTCTTTGCCTTAGCATCTTAGGTGCTGAAAGGGTCTCTTGCTTGGAATCTGTTTTTAATATTGCTGACATTCCTCTTGCTAAATATACTAGAAGAGGGTGCCTGCTACCTGTGAGGAACTAGGGATAGAGATTAAAGTCAAGAGTTGCTCTTGAGAGAGCTTGAGGTTATAGCTTCCTAAGTAGCCTAATTAAAATATCCACAGGTCACCATCTCAAAGCCAGTTTTTCACCCTTCTGAGAACAGAATCTAAATTGCATGTCAACTGAATGCCATGTCCTAGGCTGGACACAGGTTATCCCTTTGGTTATATCCTGCTGAAGGCAACTGCTACAGTAGCTCTTAAAACCAGCCAGAGTGCCATGGTCCTGTAATCTCATTAGTAAGACAAGTATTAGGCACTGGCATTATAAGCTGTATCTTAAAGTCACAGCATTGTCCATTATGAAGATCATCTTACAGACATGACACAGGGAGGTTCAGGGAGGTGGAATGACCTATCCAACTTCACAAGTCTCAGTACTTAATGGAAGATACAGGACCAGAATCCAGGGCCCCCATTCATAAAATCACAACCAGATTATAGTATCAATTTCAAAAATCCGAGAATATGTGATAGGGACACCATCACGCTTTACATATTAGGCAGTCAAGTGACCACTGAAGAGCCCAGTGACCCGATCTCTCCCTTGCAGTCATTCCACTGTACCTTGAAGCATATAGGAAGAACTCTATAAAGGGTTCCAGGCCCTATTTAACCACTGTGTATTTGGGGGCGTCTGGCTGGCTCAGTCGAAGGAGCATGCAACTCTTGATCGTGGGGTCGTGAGTTCAAGCCCCATGTTGGGGGTAGAGATTACTTAAATAAACTTAAAGAAAAAAAAAAAAAAAAAAAAAAGAACTGCTTTGTTTTAAAAGGCCATGAAGTGAGGAATGTCCCCTAACCAGAGCAGTCATTGGCCAAACTGTCCTTCACAATTTGGCAAGTTTATTTTCAGACGCCCACTCAGAGCACAAGCTCTACCTGTGTGTCTAGGTCCCTGGTGCAGCCTGTAACCACCCAGATATTGAATCAATCCACCTGGTAAAGATACTGCTGACATTCTCCAGAATCTTCACAACCACCCTGTGAGGCAGGTGAGGAGTCTTCATTTTACAGATTAATAACTGCCTTGTCCCCAGCCGGTTTCTAAGTTTTGCCGTTTCCTTAGCAGAAAGGCTCACACATATGTTGTCTCACCTCCACCCCACCCCAGTGGAAGAAAACTTTGCCTTCTTGCCCCAAATGTTTCAAAGAACAGTATTCCTATTTTGTAGCCTTGCCATAACTAACCTCATGCAGAAGTACCATGTTCATAACCGCATACCAATCAAAACTCAACTTTACTTAATAGGCTTAAATATAAAATTAAAATATCACAAAAAAAGAAAACAAAGGAGCGCCTGGGTGGCTCTGTCAGTTAGGTAACTGACTTGGTTTTGGCTCAAGTCATGATCTCATGGGTTTGTGAGATTGAGCCCCACATGGGGCTCTGCACTAAGCATCATATAGCCTGATTGGGATTGTCTCTCCCCCTTCTCTCTGACCCTCCCTGCTTGCATGCAACTTGCATACACTCTCTCAATAAATAGATAGATAGATAGATAGATAGATAGATAGATAGATAGATAAAATCTAAAAAAAGGAAAAGGAAAAAAAAGGAAGACAGGCAGCCTCACGCTTGGCAAACCTAGCCTAAGTTATCACATTAAAACAAATTTTCTACTTTGTCATTTCAAAATTACTGTTGGTTAGGGAGAAAAATCTTCACATTCCCTTCTTACTGGGTTTTGCCGTAAGCTAGATGAATTACAACGATTTTAATAAAGCCCTTGGAAAGGTTTGTGTTTCTCCTTTCTCCTGACCAAAATCCACAGGTGTCCCTAGATGAAGGATGGGAAGCCCGCACCTGCCCCCATAATTCTTAATATCGTTTTGAAGATAAAATTTAAAAAAGTATGTAACTTTGGAAGCCAGAAGATGCTACTCAAAGACAAAGTGTCATTATTAATTTTCAACCCCCTCAAAAGGTTCACTCAATCCTTATAATTTTAAAAGAACTCCTAAAAAGCAGGAAGTGCAGAACATTCTGGAATGTCCTGATCCATTATTATCTTGGTTCTTAAAGTACAGGGGTCACTGTGACCCTTTTAGGGGTTCAAAAACTCCCTTCCTTTTTCAACTATATCTCTATGGGAAGCATATTTTCTTTATATACATTAGCGACATATTACAATAGGATAAACACAGAATCAGAACTGAGAAACTGTCTTAGACGGTCACTAATGAGATTTGCAAAAATGTAATTCAATGCCATTTTTCCCACCAAGCTTTTGTCATTTGAAAACAGTTATTTTTCATAAAAATTAATATCAATAGTTATTAGTATTAACATGTAATGGGTTTATTGTTTTTTAAATTAATAAATATTTTGTTCTCAGTTTTATTTTCAAAAACAGTAAATATCGCTAAGCAAAAGCTCTTTGGGGACTTCAATAATTTTTTTTTTCATTTTTTAAAACATTTTATTTATTTTTGCAAGACAGAGAGATAGAGCATGGACAGAAGAGGGGCAGAGGGAGAAGGAGACACAGAATCTGAAGCAGGCTCCAGGCTCCAAGCTGTCCACACAGAGCCCGATGTGGGGCTTGAACCCATGAACCATGAGATCCTGACCTGAGCCGATGCTTAACTGACTGAGCCACCCAGGAGCCCTGGGGGACATCAACAATTTTTAAGAGTGTAAAGCAGTCCCAAGACCAAAGCATTTATCACCTGTTTACTACTCATTATACTAAACACTGGTTATAGTCAAATTCAAATACTCAAATAGAATTAGAAAATAGGTTGACACATTATAAAAACAAATACATAGTTTCCCACACACAGGAAAAATAAACTAGTTTTTAGCCATAATGTAATGTGTATTTTTGAAGAGGTATTCCTTTTAATAACAAGCAGGATAAGGAAACAGAACCTTAGAGGAAACTTTCAGAACAAAAGCCCCAATAATCTCACCCAGCTACTGAACTGTTTACATTTCCTTTTCCTCTCCTGTTTTTGACCCTCTGGCAGTATTTATTCAATGGACTATTTTTTAGAGCAGTTTTTGGTTCACAGCAAAACTGAGCAGAAAGTGTAAAGAGTTCTCATTTACCCCCACATCCGAGCCTCCCCTGCTACCAACACCCCCACCAAAGAGGTAGTACTTTGTTACAACTAATGAACCTACAGTGACCTGTGTATTTTTTTTACAGTTGGTTTTATCTTTAACACTACTATGATAGAAGTTACATTTTATTTTATTATTTTTATTATTTTTAGTTCAGGTAATTATTTATTTATTTATTTATTTATTTATTTATTTATTTACTTATTTACTTATTTATTTACTTATTTATTCAATTTAAATTCAAGTTAGTTAACATATCATGTAGCATTGGTTTCAGGAGTAGAACCCAGTGACTCATCACTTAAAACATACAACACTGAGTGCTCATCCCAACAAGTGCCCTCCATTATTAATCCCCATCACCCATTTGACACATCCTCTCACCTCCTTCCCCCCCAGCAACCCTCAGTTTGTTCTATTTCAGAGTCTCTTATGGTTTGCCTCCCTCTCTACATTTTAAAAGTTATGAATGATAGTTATAACTGTCATCAGGCTAGAAATAATTACTTGGCTGATTTTTCAAAAAGGGATATGCTAAGAAGTGTTGATGACAAAGAATATATATGTTGGGAAGTATCTTTACATCTGGCCAGTCATAACTGATTGTTATGTCAGTCATAACTGACCCACTTCCACAAATTAGCTGCACACAGAAAACTTGGCATCATTGAGCTTTTTGTTTTTCTTTTGTCTTATTGATCAAAGTATGGGAAAAAATTTTCTGGCATTAAAATGAAAAACAAATTTGTAAATCCAAAAAGCATCTTGAAAGTCCATGAAGCATTTTGGTTACAGTATAATTATAATTGCCCAATTATACTTAAACAGAACTCTTTATAAGTTGTGAAAAATAAATGACATCTGTTACAATACCACACAGAATGGGTTCATGGAAATAGAGAATCAGGTCAGTTAAATTCTCCTTAACTCTTAATTGACAAATTGGGAATCTGCAATAATTCGAAGCTTCCGACTTTACATGAGTTGGTCTAAATAATACTAAATACTACTCTGCACTATTTTTTTTATTGTTTGCTAAAATCCACTTAATGACATGAATTAGACTAACTTTTTAGAGTTAATGGCACACACACACACACACGCAGGTTACACAACATTCTTATTTATTCATTCAGTCCCTTTGAGACAGTATTAAACCCAGTTAGCCTACTTCAAACTGCTTTGTTAAACCTAACAAAAATGTGCATCCTTATTAACAGTCTGTAGTTCAGTTTTTACTGTTCCCCTCAACTGACCCCTTATGTGTAGGAAGTTTTAGAGCATACAATTTTTCTATTATAAATCCTGACAGCAAAAACTCTAAATCTCCCTCTTGGACTACATAATGAAAATGTACTATTATCAGGAACCTACTGAAGACAAAGATGTTACTACTATTACTTTAAAGGCAGCATTTTTGTTCACTTCTGCATTTCATCTGGTGGATTCTTGCCTGCTGGAATACACCCCCCGCCCCTCCATCACCCTAGAATGCCCCTGCTAAAAGTCGAGGAAATAAAACCATCAATAGCTAGTGAACTTGAAACCCAAGATGGCTAGATCTGGAAGAGGGGAGCTCCTCTCCCAGGAGAAGAGACACTTACAATTTCGCATAAAAGTCA